TTTTCAGCTCGATGTTGAATTAAAGTGGTGGTAGTGGTCATTCTTGCCTTGTTTTCATTCTTAGGCGGAAGCATTGGATTTTTCACCCTGAGTGGTAATGCTTGCCTTTGTTTTTTTGTAAATGCCTTTCATCGGATTAAGGAAATCCTTCCTATTCCCAGTCTGTTGAGAGTTTAATCATGAATGGATGTTGAATTTGTCAAACGCTTTTTGCATCAACTGGTATGATGTGGTATCTCTTCTTTAGACTGAAGACAGTCTCTTTTTAAACAAAAGAAAACTAAAACAAGGGTAATTCATCAATAAATAATATTTTTAAGAGGGAATCTTTATCGTATTCATTTTTATAAATTCATGTGAAAAAGTCTATTTAGTGGGACACATAGTAAACAGCACAGTGAATCTCCATCAACTTTTTTTTTTAATGTGCCTCGATTATTTTTACTTTATTAACATAAAATGTATTACTTGTTTCAGGGGTGCAGGTCTGTGATCCTCAGTGTTACACAATTCACAGCGCTCACCGCAGCACACACCCTCCCCAGTGTCCATCCCCCAGCCACCCCATCCCTCCAACCCCAGCCCCACTCCAGCAAACCTCAGTTTGTTTCCTGAGATTAAGAGTCTCTCATGCTTTGTCTCCCTCTCTGGTTTCATCTTGTTTCATTTTTCCCTCCGTTCCCCTATGATCGTCTGTCTTGTTTCTCAAATTCCTCATATCAATGAGATCATATGATAATTGTCTTTCTCTGATCGACTTATTTGAATCAGCATAATGCCCTCTAGTTCCATTCACATCGTTGCAAATGGCAAGCCTTCATTTCTTTTGAGCCTTTTAAAAAGTATTTTTGTAAATTTGGGAAATGTCCCAAGTCTCCTGCATTTACTACCAAACTTGTAGGTTTTCTCCACGGTATCTGCCATCCGGAAAGGAGGGACATTCCTCAAGTCTGTATACTTACATGTTCTGCTCAACAATTTAACATCTTCCTTACAACTACCTGTACTCCCTGTTATGCCCCAATAATGGGTCCGTGATTAAAGGAGCAAGACTGATACAAAGCGAAGGTCAAGCAAAGCTTTATTTCGCGCCCAGCATCAAGAATCTAACCGAATGTTTAGAGACGCGCCTCTTACAAGAGAGGGCGACCCTTCTCTGTTTCACAGCCTAGCTTTTAAGGGCAAAGGCCATGCGATCGGGCCTGGACACGCACAGGTGGCCAATGAGATTGTAACACACACAGGAAACTCCACAGTGATGCTAGGTGACCAATTCAGTTACAATTGACCCTAGTAGACATTTGAACCAGCCTATTACACCTTGATTGGGATTGGCGCCCAAAAAGCTCCCAAAGGGCGGGGCCCCTACTCCTTGGTAACCAGGGAGACAGTATGCATCCCCCCCCACTGATCAGATGTCTCCACCTGGCCTGACCCACCTTTTTATCTAGGCTTTGTTACCTGAAGCTGGTTTATCCCCTGGGGGAATGAGAGCAGGGACAGTTTCTAAATCCCCAGTAACAGCCATAAGCATCCAATTCTTCCCACTTCAAGAAATATTTTCTGAGTTCCCAGGAAAGACATATTGTATGTCATATAGACAACAAAGTTTTATATAGTTGTTGAAGTCTAACTATATAAAGGTGATCTAGATTACCTAAGCATATTTTTAGATAGTACTAACTCAATCTTGCTGAACTTGATTTTGTATATTTCCATATATGTACAGCCATTAAATTCTCATTTACACTTACAAAACAGGTATTTCAAAGAGTCTTTTGAGGACTCTGATCATATATCTACTTATTAAAAGTCCCTTCCGAATACACTTGTGATGAGTGTTCTTTCAATGCGGTCCACACGCTATGACATATTATTTGAAATGGCCAACCTTCAACACATTGTATAAGACAAACACACACTTTGTTTGTGGGAAGGGAAGCAGATACTAAGTCACTTAAAATACCTTTTCCCCACTGTAAGAATTTTAATTTTACTATGCTTTTGTCTATTAACCTGTATAATCCTTTGCCTCACTTGGGGAATTACTCCATCCTCACAGTTTTGGAGATCTGTGTAACGTGCCCATGTTCATTCCCTTGATTCAGGTTGTAGATTCCGCTCATCTTCCGGTCCACACTCGAACAACAAAGAGAAAGGAATATCACAGTAGCATCTGCCTTCCAACTAAGGTACTCGATTTAATTATAAGCTTAGCGGGTTCCTTTCAAAATGAGAATAAACTGGTTTTGCTGTTACTGCCTTGGTATTTACCAAAATTTTTTTTTTGCAGTTACATTCATCAAACCTCCAATCAGATTTAAAAATTAACACAACAGAAAATTCCACTATAAAAATCTCCTTAAGGTTTGATCACAGCACAGGGTGAGCCATTGTGACTACTTCAGGGGAATGTCTTTTCTATTCCATGGGCTTTGCGGTGCCTGTCAAGTCTCATTTAGAAATCACAGATGATGGTAAACTAATTAACTGAGTTTTGCCGTGAAATCCACTCAAGGGATCCGTATCCTGCATCTCACAACTTATTGCCAGATAAACTCCAAATTCAGCCAAATTCCAAATTCAAATGTAAAACTGAAACCACGTATTAGAAATGTATTAGAAAGCCTTATAATTTTGGAGGAAAGCCTTCATTTTTTGAATCAATGTACTGCCTATTTAACAACTAATTAAAAATGACCAAAATATTCGAAGCATTCGAAGCAATAAGCAACCAGAAGCCGTAACAAATAGCAGTAAAAAGGAAATTCATAAATACAATAAACCTGTTTTCCCAAACCTGATAGCAAGTACTATCATAAATGATGAAACACTAAATCTTTTCAATTAAAAGCAGGAGCAGTACAGAGTTACCCCATATCACTGTTACTATTCGGTCGTTTCTAGGAAGTGCAATAAAAACGAAAATGAAATGGCTGGAATAAGCACTGGAACATAAGGGTCTTTCACAAGGTCGGTATGACTGTTTGCCCACAACACCCACGAGATTCTGGTTTAGAAAAATAACCTACTAAAATTAGTAAGCTAATTTGAAAATAAGGTAAATATGTAAAATAACATGGGTTATCTCTGTAATATAATGAGTATCTAGGAAAGAAGTAGAAGATATTTCTATGCCAAGATCAACAAAAGTATACGTTAAGGCGCACTAAGAATAAAACACGGCGAGTGTTCTGTCAAAATGAACGTAAGGCAGCAGTATCAGTCTGAATATCACAAGTGTTTTATTTTCTTCTTTCTGGTTTTCCTTCCCTCGTTGCGGTTCATCGCAGTGGACTGGAAGAGGCGCACATCTCTGCTTTGTAACGAAAGCCGGGAAAGGGAGAAGACGAGCGGGCGCCGCGGCAGCTTCAGGCGGGAGGTGAGCGCGCGGGTGAGGAGGGCAGAGCTGAGGGATCTTCACGCTGCGCGACGGGGCCCTACCGACCAGTCACCAGGCAGCGGGTCCCTTAGAAGCCCAGAAGCACTGAGGGACTGGAGACACCCACCCGGTCCCCCAGGAGGCGAGGGTGCTGGGCAGCTGTGCAGAAGGGGGCAAACCGAAGACCTGAATAGGGGGTGCGGGGAGCCCCACCCCACACGGGGTCCCGGGCAGGGCCTGCAGACTCTGCCCTTCTGTCCATGGTACGACGAGGAAGGAGATACACGAAGGACGGCAGACTGGCCAATGGGTGTTTGGAGAAGCCAGAGTTTGTTAGGATTCCCATGTTGCCCGTTTACGGTAACAGTAATGTTGAGGACAAAGGGGACTGATCAGGACTGGCCGACCCGCGGCGGGTCACCAACTTGCTGCTCATGGCGACGGCACGTGCAGCTGTCCTCGGTGGGGCTGCGGTTCGGAGTCTCAGGACGCCTCTGTCCCGCAGCCACACAGCCTGCTTCACTTCCCCCTCCAACGCACGATTTTTTTATCCGTAGACAATGAAACACATGATTTGCTAGAGAGAAAATTTTGAAATTATTCTTTCCTTCCACAGAAGGTATAAAAACCGTGTTCCTTCTTGCTTTCTCCTCATTCAAGTGTGCACGCAGAGGCCGTCCCACCCGCCCACGGAGCATCTGTCAGTTGAGACGGCATCGTTGCAAGGTTCAGGATACACTGGACCAAAGACAAGCCCAGCCCGATTTATCCGGTTCCAAACAGTATTAACGAGTATGTGACCACCAATGAGACGATTCTCTTCCTCCTCCTCTTTCTTCCCTTGGTAACTTTTTGGGATCCCTTGCTCAACATTTCGTAGCTAGGAGGGAATGAGGGGACAAGATCTCCCGTTCTGGTGAGAAAGTCGGGGAGCTGCTTTTCTTCGTACATAAAATGGTATCTGGGACCAGAACCACCGTGATTTCACCTCCCGCGCTTGGTTGGTCTGTCTTGTAGAGTAAGAGCCACCGGTTTTACCTCACGTCCTTCACGGCCCCCACCAAGTGTCACCAGTGCACGTCTCTGATGGTGGGTTTGGTAAGGCAAGGCTGTGCCTGCGACGGTAAGACCCGGGGAAGAGCGGTGCAGGGGCCAAGGCTGGCGTCTCTATCCTCACGTGCCCTCGTCTGCGGGGGCTCCCGCAGCGGAGCACACACCCGGTGGGGGGGGGTAGAAACACAGACGTGTCGCTCACAGGCCGGAAGTCTGGTTCTGGTGAGAGCGGTCTTCAGGGGGGCAGAGCACGGACTTCCGCCTGTGCCCCCACATGGTGAAGGGGCCTCCCTCATCAGAGTGCTCATCCCAAGCATGAGGGCTCTGCCCACGGCTCCCCAGCGCCTCCCACGGACGGGCCCCACCTCCGAACATCACTGCATTGGGGGTTACAGTGTCAACATGTGGATTTCGGGAGGACACAGACATTCAGTCCATTGCAATACGTCATTAAGCAAACATTCTGTTGTCTCTGAATTGCAGAAGCTGGAAAGGGATCCCTTTGCTATGGCAGGAAAGGGATTCCTGTTGCATTTTGGAAAGATCGGACCCTTGGCCATTGGGAATGTTGGGGGGACCGTGGCACTGTGAGACGGCAGCCTTTGCGGCCTGTGCGTGCTGTCCCCGGGAGCCCTGCTGTGCAGCCTGCTGGCAGCGCCACATCTTTTAAGAAGGTGCATTTAGGAATATTTTGTTCCCTGTAACACCGCTAGAGCACGAAGACCAGATTCAGGAGTTCGTGCAGCAGGAAACGGGCGCTATCCGTGAGCTGTAGCTGCTTTACCCGACTCATTCAATCTACTGTAAATATTACTGTCAGGGAGCAAAGTGCTTTTGGAAATATTGGACAGTGGGTCACTGTGCTCTAGGACGAGGAATGAGGGAAACTTCTAGGCAACAGACCCTGCGCCGTGGCGGGTTCCCTTGCCAGCGCTGTCCAGCGCTCACTGCAGGACACGGTGCTGAGCGGGACAGCTTTCCTGCCCTCAGCGCTGCCACCGTCACAGCCCCCTTCACCACAAATGCAACCTGGTGCATGAGACAAAACAGGCTCAAAATGGGGAATTCGGGGCTTATAATATCCTCCCAGGGCGGGGTGAGGGGCAGGCTCTGAGCAGAGTGCTTCAGCGGCTCTCCGGGCCAGAAAAGAGGTCGGGATCGGGAAGCGGCCACCACGGCGGCACCCCCCGCGCCCGCTGCTTCTGCCAGGATCAGGAAAGGCCCTGCCCTGTCGGCAGCCCCAGGACACCCACAGAATAAAGCCTCCGTCCTGCAGCTGGCACCTCGCCCCCGTCCAGGCAGGGTCCACGCAGTCCGGCGGGCGGTCGGCAGCCGGCACCGCTCCCAGCCAGCCTGCTCAGCTCAGTCGCACAGGACGCCCTCTTGTCCTCCTGCTGCTGGAACTTCCAGTGGTCCCGGCCCCGCTGCGAGGGAGGCTGGAAGTGCAACTGTCAGGAGCCGACACTCCCAGAGCCGACTGGACTGCAGACGAGGGTGAGGGAGGGAAACCAGGTGTCTCCTGCCGTCACGTCTCTTTATTCCCTCCAAAAAGCCTGTGGGTTCTCATGTCACGCAAGCTGTGTAGAAAAGGCTCCCAGAGCTTGTCCAGCGCCTTCCCAGCGGAAGAAAGGTGCCCTCTGTCTAGACGCACCGGCAGCCATGGGAACAGCCTATGAAGGCCGTGTCTGGGTAAGTGTCGATATTTGGGGTTTAGATGAAGTCTCGATAAGTTTATCAATCACCTCGCACTCTGTGAGCACATTCGGAAAAAAATTATATATATATATATATATATATTATCTATAACAGATTATGCAGTGCAAATTATGTGCAAATGGACATATTTGTTCCATCCTGAGAAGACAGTTTGAGAACAAAATTCAGTTGTCCCCAGTAGGATATTTTTAAATGTCTCAAAGTTTTCTGTTCAAACCTCACCCTGTGATGAATTAATGTTGGAAACCAGTGATGGAACTTTGAATTCCAGTCCGCAATGACAAATTTTAAGACTAAAAGTAAAATAACTTTTTTGGTGAATATTTAAAATCGAGTTGAATTTGAGGCATGGTGTTACCAAGTTTGAATTTAATGTTGCCAGGGACAAAGAAATTATTTGACTATGTCGCGAGTGTGAACTGAAACGGTGCCAGTCATATGTTAGAAGAGACGCTCAGTCTTCACAGGACTCCCCTGTTGTTTTGAAGTTTCAACATACAGCTCTGTCCCACATCTTTAATAAGAAAAGTGACAGATTTATAACATGTTTATTATTTTAATTGTGTGTGTAATAATTAGATAGCATGTGATGCTTCCGCTCATACAGTTTTTATTTGTTGATGTTTTTAAATCCCAACTAAAGATCCCAAAGAAGGCAGGGGCGAGGAAGGGATGGCAGAGAGCCCTGGCTGTCGTCTGTGACTTCAAGCTCTTCCTGTACCACACGGATGAAGAAAAAGACTCCAAAACCAACGTTGTCGTGAGTCAAGTGATGGACATGAGGTAAACTTTGAAAGAGAGAATTTTTTAATTTAAAAAAAAAAGGGAATAAAAATGGCTTCTGATATTTTCTTTAAAAAGTGTTGTCATTAACATTTAACTTTACATTAAAGTTCCTAATTTTCTCCATTGCCATGTAAACTTCAAAACAGAAGATTTTTGCCAAAGTTTACATCACCAGCCCTAAGGTATGGATCATAATTCAGTGCGGTATCTGTAAGGTTTTTACTCAGAAGTTATCTTCTTAGTGTGTGTGTGTGTGTGTGTGTGTGCGCGTGTGCATGCATGTGGCAAGGGAAGAGACAGCATCTCAGAACCAGACACTTCCTGTGAGATATAATTCACACACCATAAATGTCACTGTTTTAAAGTGTGCCATTCGCTGGTTTTCCCTTGTTCACAAGCTCGTACAACCACCACCACCATCTAATTTTAGAGCATTTTCGTCAGGCAAAAAACAAACCATATTTGCCTTATCTCCATTCTCCCTCACCCCAAGCCCCCGGTAAGCAGGGAGCTAGTTCTGCGTGTCTGGATCCGCCGCCCCAGCTATGGCACGTAACTGCAGTCACACGGGCAGCCTGCCGGGCCTCCCGCTCTGAGCGTGCTGTCTGCCAGCCTCCTCCACATCGCCTGTAGCCTATTTCATTACTTTTCATGGCTTATGCCCTTCTTCGGGTTAAGGAAATTCCCTTCTATTTCTCGTTTGTTAAGTGTTTTTATCAGGTGTTGGGTTTTGGCAAATTCTTTTGCTGTGACTGTCGAGGGGATCATATAGTCCCTCCTTCATTAGCATCCTGTATTACACTGATTTTTTAGAATACAGAACCTACCTTACATTCCTGGGATAAATCCCACTTGGTTATGGTGTGGGAAAAAAATAGGAATATTCTTTTTACACGCTGCTGGATTGGATTTACTGGAATTTATTGAGGATTTTTCCATCTGTATTAATACAGAATATTGGTCTATAGTTTTCTTTCATTAGATATTTTTGCCTGGCTTTGGTGTTAGAGTAATAATGTCCTCAGAATGAGTTGGAAAGTACTCTTTCCCCTCTTATTATCTTGGAAGAGCTTGTGAAGGGTTGGTATTAAATATGTTTGGTAGAATTCACCAATAGAGCCATCTGGTCTTGAACTTCTTTTAAAGGGAAGTTTTCTGATTCCTGTCTCAGTCTCTACTTGTTATAAATCCACTCAGATTTCTATACCCTCCTGACTCAGCTTTAATATTTTCTATTTCCTAGGAAATTTTCTATTCTTTGAGATTTTCTAATTTTTTGTGCATGTGATTGCTCATAATATTCCCTTATACTTCTTCTAATTTCTGACAGGTCAGTTAGTTATATGCTCTCTCTCACTTCTGATTTTAGTAATTTGAATCTTTTCTAATTTTTTCTTGGTTTAGCTAAAGCTTACCAATTTTGTTAATCTTCTTAAAGGACCAACTTTTGCTTTTCTTGGTTTTATCTTCTTTTTCTACATTCTGTTTCTTTAATTCCCACACTCCGTTCTTTGTCACTTCCTTCCTTCTGCTAATTCTGGGTTAGTTTGCTCTTCTTTTTCTAGTTTACTAAGGTGGAAAGTTAGGTTATTGAGTTGAGATCCTTAATTATTTCTTTTGTCCCCTTTCGTCCTTTCCCTTGCTTAGGGCTCCCACGATGTGTATCTTAGCACTGTTTATGGTGCCCTGCAGGTCTCTGAGGCTCTGTTAGCTTTCCTTCGTTGTTCTTTCTTTCCTTTTCTCAGACTGGATCATACTAATCGGCCCGTCTTCAAGGTCAGTGATTTGGTCCTCTGCCTACTCAAAACTGTTTTCGAGCCCCACTAGTGAATTATTCATTTCGATTATTTCACTCTTCAACTTCAGAATTCCTATTTGGTTCCTTTTTTACCATTTCAAATTCGCTATTGATACTTTCTATTTGGCGAGACATCATTCTCAGAATTTTTAAAAAAGGTTTTGTTTATTTATGAAAGAGACAAAGCGAAAGAGGGAACACAAGCAGGGGGAGCTGGAGAGGGAGAAGCGGGCTCCCCGCTGAGCAGAGAGCCCAAGATGCAGGGCTCGATCACAGGACGCTGGGATCATAACCTGAGTCAAAGACAGACGCTTAATGACTGAGCCACCCAAGCATCCCACATCCTTATAATTTTCTTTAGTTCTTTAGCCATGGCTTCCTTTAGGTCTTCAAACATATTTAAAATGGATGATTTAAATCTTTGTTCAATAAATTCAACATCTGGGTTTCCTGGGGAACAGTTTCTACTGGCTATGTTTTTCCTGTGTATTTTTCATACTTTTATGTTTCTTTGCATGTCTTACAAATTTTTCTTAAAAAGTGGACATTTTGGGGTGCCTGGGTGGGTCAGTGGGTTAAGCGTCTGCCTTCAGCTCAGGTCATGGTCTCAGGGTCCTGCGATTGAGCCCCCTATCAGGCTCTCTGCTCAGTGGGGAGCCTGCTTCCCTGTCCCCGCTGCCTGCTTTTCTGCCTGCTTGTGATCTCTGTCTGTCAAATAAATAAATGAAATCTTAAAAAAACCAAAACAAAACAAAAAAACCCTGGACATTTCAAATAATGAAACTGGCAGCTCTGGTAATCAAATCCCACCTCGTCTCCAGGATTTGTTGATGATGTTACTTGTAATTGTTGTTTGTTTCTTTGGTGACTTTTCTAAACTCATCTGTAAAGTCTTTATTCTTGGTCCTATGAGGTCACTGAAGTCTCTACTTCGTTAGCTTAGTGGCCAGCTAATGATCGTACAGAGGTTTTTTTTTTAAGCATCTGGACGGGGTATATCTCCCAGTCTTTGCCGAAGAGCTTGTGTGCAAATTGGGGCTCTCCTTCAGCACTCAGCCAGGCAGCTGACAACACTGTCTTAGCCTTACTTTCTACCCGTGCAAGTCCTCAAGAACAAGGGAAGAAGTAATAGCTGGAAACTTCCCCAATTTAATGTAAAACATTAATCTACACATCCAAGTCAGCAAGAAGGGAGCACTTAGGGCCTTCTCAGGTCTTTCCTGAGAACAGCACAGCCCCAGGAATGTTCACAGGCCTGCACATGTGCATCGACTCCTGGATTCCTAGCCGCACACCCGGGCTGCTCAAAGGCCCTATGGACATCTCACGTCCTATCTTATCTTTTCAACATTTGTGACTTATCTCTTTTTTTCCCCAGTTGTGAAACGTGGCTGAGGCAGCCGTGTGGCTGAGATACTTCCAGGCCGTTGTTTTCTGTAAACGCCCCCTGGGGATAGATTTTTCAAACTTGGGAGAGTTCTGAGTTAAGTCCAATACAGCGGTTTCTTTCCTGCACCTCCTCCTCTTTTCTGGTCCCCAGTGGCCCCTGGCTTCTAGGACGCTCTGTAAGCGCAAGCTGCCATTTTCAAGGCTGTTGAGGCGTTAGAAAATGGAGCATGCAACCAGGGCAAGCCAGATCAGCACAAGCTCATGGTTCCTACCAAGATTTAGCTGTTTCTCCTGAATAAATCCTCCTCGGATTGCCACAGACTTTGGTTAGTTCGTACAGTTCTTAAAAAGTTGATTTTGCTGAATTTTACCATTCCCCCCCCCCCTTTTTTTATGAAGGAGAGAATCCTCAGAGGTCCTTATTCTGCCGTTTTTGCAGATGTCTCTCTCTCTAAGCGTTTACTATTAAGTAACACTGAATCAGTGAACTTGGAGCAAGTGTATCTTACTGAAAGAAATGCAGTAATATGTTCTCTCCTCCCCCCTGTCTGTTCCAAATCTTTTAAGCCCCTTTATACATCCCTCCTGGTGTATCTGGGCATCTGTCCTTGGTCTTTTATTCTTCCCCCTTCTGCACACACCCAGTGTGATCCCGTCATTCCCCATCATTTCCCGCGGCTCCAGGTGTCCCCTGCACCATGATGACGTGCCCTGCCTAAACGTTCTATCACAGATTATTTGGGTCTCCATGTTCATCCTGTCTTATTTTGACACGTTGCCCAAAAACTCTGTTCGATATTTTCCGTACTGGTGAGTGTCACCCTTGTCAGAAATGTGATGGTACCTGAGCAACTGGTACAGGAAAGCAGGTGACCTTGAAGGGGACT